TGTGCACATGCTTTGTCAAAAATGGAGAAGACGGAGACTCGTGCAGTTATAAAATACCTGACAAAAACAGGGTTGACCCCATCTCAAATCAAAGCTGACATGGATGAAGTTTTGGGAGAGTCTGCTCCTTCGTACACCACTGTGAAAAAATGGACAGCCCTTTTTAAATCTGGCAGAGAGAGAATGGAAGATGACCTGCGCAGCAGATGGCCGTCAACTGCTGTCACTGAAGAAAATATCGACAAAGTTCACAATTTGGTATTAGCAGATCACCGTTTGAAAACGCGTGAGATAGCTGAGACAACAGGCATCTCTGTCGACTGAGTGCACCACATCCTAACCGAAAATTTGGGTATGACGAAAGTCTCAGCAAGGCGGGTGCCGGGTCTGCTGACCACTGAGCAAAAATGTGTTCGCACTTTGATGTAAAAGGAGTGTTTGGACTTTTACCAGAAAACCCACTGGATTTCTTGCGTTGGTTTGTGACTACTGACGAAACGTGGATCCATTACTACACTCCTGTAACAAGAGAACAGTCGAATCAGTGGAAACACCACAGTTCGCCACCACCAAAGAAGGCAAAGACAGTTTCATCAGCGGAGAAAGTGATGGCCTCGGTTTTTTGGGATGCTAAAGGCATCATCTTTACCGACTACCTAGAAAGAGGAAAGACCATTAATTAATGCTGTCTATTACTGTGAACTTTTGGAAAAACTGAAGAAAGAAATCGAAGAAAAGAGGCCACACTTGAAGAAGAAAAAGGTTCTGTTCCACCACAATAATGCACCTGCACATTCCGCCAGAATCACTGAACAAGAGATAAACAAACTTCGCTTCCACATAGTTTCACAAACTTTAGTTCCACATCCACTGTACTCACCTGATTTTGCCCCCAGTGACTTCCACCTTTGTCCAAACCTAAAAAAATTCTTGGCTGGAAAGAGATTCCACTTAAATGACGAAATCATCTCTGAAGTGAACGAGTATTTTACACGCCTTGA